AACGAAGGATTGGATAAGTGGTAAGCGACTTGTTCCAGTTTAAGCAAGATCTCGAGTTCGAGACCTTGTGTATGTAGCAGCTTTCGTTGGGAGACTCACCCATCATTTTTAGGTGCGCGACGCTGGTCAATCCGGATTAGTCGGGACGAAGTCCTGGATACCGGACTGGAAATCGACGAAGAGAATGGGAGGAAAAAACACGATAATATGATATATAGTTTTATAGTTGTGAAAAAATTATAAAAATTTATTATAGATTAAAAAAATTGTATTTTTTTTTGTATCCAATGCCAAAATTTTTGGTATACCGAAATTGTTGGTATCCAATACCGAAATGTTCGGTATCCAATACTGAAAAAATAAAAGCATTCCGTTATTGGTTTCTGTCATGAAACAAAAAAAAAAAGAGGAAAAAAAAGTCGGTATTTGCCCACCCCTAATTCAAATATCTGTTTTAAAATGGAAAGATTCCTTAGTTATCAATTTTCCAAAAACAGTGTTTAAGAAAGAGGGAAAGCAGAATCACCTCCACAATTTATTTCATCGTTTTTCTCACAAGCTAAGCAACAAACGACTATGACGATTTCATTTCTTTTCCCTCTCGTTCTTTTCTCTCTGTTTCTCAAACCCACTGTTGCCGTCCAAAAGGCAAGCATATGAAATTATTACTCCTCGGTGTTTCTCCTTTTTAATACTATAAAACCATGTTTTTGGTACATCGATACTATAAAACCATGTTAAATTTTGTTTTTATGTTCAAAACTCAATCTGAGTTTTCTTGAAATTTCAAAAGCATATTAAATGTTTGTTTCTTGATGCCAAAACTGAATCTGGGTGGTTCTGGAATTCCTTTCTTCTGAACACTATCTGTTCACAATTTATCCCAGTTTGGGTTCTCTCTAAATTCTATGTTTTTCCCTTCTTTTTTTTTTTTTTAAGTCTTATGTAGTGTACTTGGGCGAACACACACATGGACTTGAGCCAACTTCGGTCGAACTCAATCAAGTGACTAATTCCCATTACAAGCTTCTGAGTTCTGTTGTCGGAAAGTATTGAATTATCTGTTTCTTCTCATAGGAGTAGAGGTACTTCTATGATTTTACAGATTGATGCATTTGTTTTTTTCAACCATTGCAGTGTTGAGATTGCTAGGGACAATATTTTTTATTCATATACTCATTCCATCAATGGTTTTGCTGCGGTCATGGATGAGGAAGAAGCTGCACAGTTAGCAAGTGTGCACACTGCAGTTTAATTTCTACATGCGTTACTCTGTGTTCCTTTGTTTTTTTAGATTTTGATTCTTGTTGTTTTGTTTCAATGTAGAACGTTCGGATGTGGTTTCTGTTTTCCCAAACAAGCCAATGAAACTGCACACAACTCATTCATGGGAATTTTTGAGATTGACAAGAGATGGGATTATTCCTCCAGAAGCGATTTGGAAGAAGGCAAGGTTTGGGAAAGACACCATCATTGGAAACCTTGACACCGGTAAAATTTACAATCTTTTATCCATTGGATTTCACCTCAATTAAGAATTTTTTATTATATTCCTACATTGTGATTTTTTATTATACCTTAATTCATGTTGATTCTACTGGAAAAGCAACTTTTGAAAACAAATTGCTTTTGTTAATCCACTGCTTTTATTTTGGTATGCCCTCTCATATAGTATCATACAATGGTTTCAGCAGCATGTATGTATGAATCTAATAGCGGTAGGATCAGTGTCAAATAGCTTTTGACTATCCAATGCTGCTTTTACTTTCCTTCTAGTGTTGTTGTATGTAAATTTAATTTTACAACTTTGATTCAGGTGTTTGGCCAGAATCAAGGAGCTTTTTAGATGAAGGATATGGCCCCATTCCATCAAGGTGGCGAGGAACCTGTCAAACTGGAAATGGAGATAAATTCCATTGCAACAGGTCCATTCTTTTCTTTACTTGTTGCTATTTTTATACTAATTATACTAGTTAAAATTTTAGCTTTTAAAACTAAGATTCCCAATATAATATATATATATATATATTTTAACCTCTCTTGTGACTATGAAAATACTTAAAAACATGTTTTCTTATAATGGTATACAAGTTCCTTACTAAAGCACAAGGCTTGATTGCTTGTTGACAAAAACATTGCGTGAACATGTTTTACAAGTTAAACATTTTGCATTCCTCTTTTTATCTATAGACTAGAAGCTGAGCTAGAGCAATGTTGAGTATTCATTCAATTTAGCAAATGAATAGATAGCGTGCTTTTATCATGTGTTTGATGTAGGGACAAAGTGAATGCCTAGATTTCCGTTTTTTAATTATAAACTACACTGTGAAACAGTATTAACATTCTTAAACTAAAAGGGCAAGGCTATTAAAAAAATGTTATAATAGAGTTTCTTTTTTGGCACCTTTATATATCTCACTAGTTACAAAGCAAGTGTACATTTTGAGTTGTTACGTTTCATGCAGGAAGTTGATAGGAGCAAGGTACTTTAACAAAGGTTTAGCTATACCGTTACCACCCTCGTTATCAACTGTGAGGGACCTTGATGGCCATGGATCACACACACTATCAACTGCTGCAGGCAATTTTGTTCCAGGAGCTAATGTTTTTCACCATGGTAACGGTACAGCAAGTGGGGGATCTCCTGCAGCCCGTGTTGCAGCTTATAAAGTATGTTGGCCCCAAATTTTTGGCACTGAGTGCCCAGATGCAGACATACTTGCCGCCTTTGACGCTGCAATTAGTGATGGTGTTGATGTGCTCTCCGTGTCAGTAGGTGGGGCTACAACTGAGTTTTTTACGGATGCAATTGCAATTGGGTCCTTCCATGCTGTCAAGAATGGCATTACTGTGGTTGCTTCTGCTGGTAATTCTGGGCCAAAACCAGGGACTGTATCCAATGTGGCACCCTGGATATTTACAATTGGGGCTAGCACAATTGATAGAGAGTTCACAAGTTATGTGAAGCTTGGGAACAAGAAGAAGATCAAGGTACATATACTCTAGTATCCATCGAATATTCGATGCTGCACCGGTACCACCTTATTAATTTGTGATGCTACCATTTCCATTTCCAGGGAATAAGTCTTTCTGCAACAATTCTACCGCATGGGAAATATTATCCACTGATCACTGGTGCAAGCGCTAAATTAGATAATGTCTCAGAAATAGACGCGTATGTCATCGCTTCATAGCCCCTTTTTGGTATTTCACAGCATATGATAACTTTGTTTAACAATTCATTTTGAACAATTGTGCAGCAACCTTTGTGCGCTATATTCACTTGATCCTAGAAAGGCTAAGGGCAAGATTGTGGTTTGTCTTCAAGGGGAAAATGGAAGTACAGAGACAGGGGTAGCAGCCCTACGAGCCGGAGCTGTTGGCTTGATTCTAGCAAATGATAAGCAAAGTGGTAATGAAGTTTTTGCAGAAGCTCACGTGCTCCCAGCTGCTGACGTGAATTTCATTGATGGTCAAATTATCTATGCCTACATCAACTCTACTGGGTAACAATCTTTTGTACTCATTTATTGACATTTTTCAGCAATTCATTACCTATTCCTTTATTTTATTTATTTTTGAACATTCTCAGGAAACCTACAGCAAGTATCACACCTGTAAAGACTATATTGGGCACAAAACCGGCTCCATCTGTTGCTACATTCTCATCCAGGGGACCTAATATCATAGATCCGGAAATTCTCAAGGTTAGCAACTTAGCATTAAATAATTCAATCAATAAACTCTTGGTATTTCTTTCTAATAGTGTTTGAACCAGAAGCATGAAATTTCTTTCTTTCTTTTTGATCTCTTTTCCCGTTGTTTCAGCCTGATATCACTGCACCTGGGGTGGACATCCTTGCTAGTTTCACTTTAGCAATATCACCATCTGAATCATTTTTTGATAAACGCCGGATTCCATTCAACATACTATCCGGTACTTCCATGTCTTGCCCTCATGTTTCCGGTGTTGTTGGACTTCTCAAGACACTCTACCCTCTTTGGAGTCCTGCAGCTATTAAATCGGCCATAATGACAACCGGTAACAAACTTTCCTTTCTCTTCACTGTCGTACGAAGTATCTTGCCTATCAAAACCCTTGCTGAGTGTTTTGAAAAGTGTTTTTCATTTTTCATTTTCAGCAAGAACACGTGATAACGAAAAACAGCCAATGAAAGATTATTCAACTAACAATATGGCAACTCCACTTGCGTATGGAGCAGGAGATGTGAGACCAAACCAAGCAATGGATCCTGGCCTCGTTTATGACTTAACAATTGATGATTACTTGAACTACCTTTGTGGCCAAGGATACAACACAAGCTTGCTCAAAAAGTTCACAACCAAGCCACATGCGTGTCCTAAGTCATACAGTGTAAAAGACTTCAACTACCCTTCAGTTTCAATTCCTGAACTGAGTGGGCAGGTGAGTGTCACTCGAAGAGTGAAAAATGTTGGACATCCAGGAACATATTCTGCACGCATCAAGCCACTTGCTGGAGTCTCAGTATCAGTTAGACCTAAGACACTAACATTCAAGAAAATAGGTGAAGAAAAGGAATTTGTAATCACATTCAACTCTACGAATAAAGGAGAGTCCGGAGATTTTGTATTTGGGCAACTGGTTTGGTCTGATGGGAAACATAATGTTAGCAGTCCTATAGTGATAAAGCATAAGTAGATTTGGTGTGAAGAGGGTTTTCTCGCAAATTCTTTAGGTTAAAAAAAAAAAGAAAAAAAGGAGAAGATGTACCTGTGGTGTAATTACGATTCTTCAAGTTTGCAAACAAATGAAAAGGAATAATTAATTTATATATTTGCAATGGGTTTTTTTTTTAAGAACTAATTCCTTTTCATGGGTTACTCTTCAATTTTTTATATTAGAATTTGACTTTTAGTACTCTGTTTGAACTTGGCTAAACATAATAAGAAGATAGTATAGGTAAGTCGCTATTCAAAATTTTTTTTTATAGAGGGTATGTTTAAAAACTTATTTTTTAATTAACATTTTTTAAAATTGATTATTGGATTGAAAATTCTATTTATATAGATTGTGTATGTTAATTTTTATATTAATTTAACATTTATAACCTATTATTTTTAGTATCAATGAAGTAATTAGATTTACTAGAATAATTTAAAATTTAACATAAATGATTTATATAAATAAAAATTTTAATTTAATAATTAGTTTTTAAAAATATTAATTAAAAAATAAAATTTTAAATAAATTCTTTCAAAAAATTAAAAATATGACATACAAAATACTTTTTTTATATAATAAATAATCTAATAACTATTAACTCAATGTTATTTTAGTTTGGAAACTGAATTTTCTCTCCAGAATAATCTAGAAACTATCATTTATGTACCATTTTACTATATCCATCCAGCCACCACCGTTTACTCCTGCTTAACGGAATTGCATTTCACAAGAAACGTGGTGTTACTCGGCATAATGTGACTGAAAATAATAGGACGAATTATGTTTTAACGTTCAACCTTTGAAAAAAAGTTTTAATTAATTCCTTAAACTAGGTAGAAGAAAACTAAATATACTAAAATGTCAAATTTACTCTTATATACATAATGATTCATGTACATACGGTAGTGGCCAAAAAAAAAAATTGTTTTTCTCTAATTTTTTATGCAAATAAAAA